ATCGTTTACAATCGAGATTTACAATCGTTTGAAAACTTTTTCGTTAATTTGCAACGTAATAAACCTTTATAGAAGAAATATTATAGTGATATAATCGTTGCAGAACGTCAATATCGATTCATTGGAAAGTCGTTCTCGAAAGGATTTCGAGTTTCTGTAATTTTGGTGATTGGACGTTTGATGCATGGAATGGTTATTGGTAGTGATGAGTTTTTTCACGTGGTATAAATTCATTGGAAGTTTCGTATACGAATAAATAGTACACTGCTGGTATATCGGTGTTGAAGAGAAATATTGAAAATTCGGTATCGACATTGTTTGATCGTTGTAAAATTTATATATTGTTTTCAAATTTAGAAATCAAAAAAAATATATACATTCGTAATTTTAACGATTGAAAAATGGCTGTTGGTTGGTTTGGAATAGATATATATATATATATATTTATAGAATTTCTATGAATAAATTGTATACGTATCGCTAATAATAAGGCATTGTAAAGGAGGTATCGAAGGATCCAAAGCAGTGTAGTTATGTGTGAGACAGTCATAACAATTGAAATACTTGCATATATGTAAAAACGGTATTAAAGCTATTGTCGTTCTTCGACACACTGTTTCTTTCTTTTTTTCGTGACATCGTTGAAAATAAAGAAAGAACATGCGTTTTGACAATGGAAAAGTATCGGCCAAATTTCTCCGATGAAAAATATTCCAAGCTTTTAATTATTTAACGAGAGAGCGAGATGGAAGTGAATTAAAACGAAAATACTGTGAATATGTCAAAAATAAAAAAAAAAAAAAACAACGCGTAAAAAAATAATTGAATAAATGGAAAAAGTTAATGAAAGAGGAATTAAATTTATTATACATTAAATGCGTGCAATTAAATTAGAAATATGAATAAGACAATTGTTGCAATTAGTAATAGAATAATTTTTTTCGCAAAAGTCTTGTCGAACTTGATAAATTCTTGATAAATGATAAATTCTTGATAAATTACGCCAAGAAATTGCACGAAAATATAATTTCGTCGCAGCACGAGTCTGACTACAAACGATTCATTTCCCTTTACAGTGGTTAGAGTCAGTTACTTGTACGTATTCTGTCGTTTCTAAAATACGTATGTACGTTATTCCGAGAATCGTTATTGAATCAGAGAGTTTATAAAATTTGGTATAAAAGCATCGTGTCGAAGTTTCAACGTTTACACGAACATTTGCTGGCATAAAAATGATTTTCTTTTTTTTTTTTTTCGCATCGCGAAAACAACTTTTTTCATCGGGGAAATTTCGAAAGTAGAAAGAACAATCGATTGCGAATGGGAAACGAAATGGAACAAAAGGAAAGTTGAATTTTTTTTTTTTCAAATTTAACCATCAGAATTATAATTAATTTAAAGAAAAATATAAACGAATGGAATAAACTTTTGAATAAATTTAATGATAACAATAGATATAAATATTTTGTGAATGATTTTAAAAAAAATCAGATCGACTATTTTGATTAAAAATAAGAATAAACGACGAGTTTTCTTACTTTCAGTATAAATAAAATTAAGTATAAAATTTACTTTTTCGATGCGAAATCGTATTTTTGAATAGAAACCAGGCCGAAAATCAACAATGAAAGCTCGGGAACATCGTCGAAAATGGAATGAAAAATTGCATTCGATATTTGCTCGAGACGAAACTCGAGTCAATGGAACGAATAATGGTCAAGGGAAAAAAGAGCTATAATCGATTGGCGAGAGGTCAAAGATGAAGGATGAGCGACAAAGCTAATTAAGCTCGGCGACGCGAGAGTTAATCTTTAAAAGAGGGGGGCCAAAAAATTTCTACAAAAATGCGAGAATAGTTTGATTTAAATTCGACTTTCTTTAACTTCCTTTGATTATTAAAATATATTTCATAAATCGAAATACGAATACGATGATTTCAACAAATTTTTGAATCTACGAATTGATTAGATTGGAGATATTTGAAGTAATAATTGATACTTTTTAGTAAATAAATTTGTATAAATTTACTTTGATTCGGATATTTAAAAAATTTGTTGGAAGAAAATCGACTTGATGATTACAAGGTGATTAAACATCGTAATGTCATTTGTCAGTTAGGTATTTGTCCCTCGAACATTAAAAAGTTTCGACCAGGTTCTTGAATTATAGATGGGAAAACTTAAAGAGGATTGATAAAATTTACGACACGTTTGTCAGGGAACTTAGCTTTTTGACGTAAGACAGAAATATCCAAGTTAAGCCTCGAGGCTTAAGAAGAGGCTTCCTCCACTCCATCAGGATTATGCAGGAGGGGCGTCAAAATGATTTAAAAGTTGATTATTCAGTATCGAATTTGTGAATTGAAACGTTCTTCCTCTTTCAAATTTGTTTTCGACAATATATTCACGATATAATTTTAATTATATCCAATACTTGACCGCATGAATCCATCTTTATTTTTCTCTCGTTCGAGAATCCTTTCACGCCAGATTAAAGTTCGTTCTGTTTAAACATAACCTCAAAAATAAATCTTAAAGTTCCGATCTCCCTTCATTTTTTCCCCTCCATTTATCCTCGCGTCGAGACGAAATTCTCTCACCAAACAGCCACGATTCAAACGGTTCAACACTCTTCTCGAAACATAACCTCGAATAAATCTTAAGATTAAACTTCTGAACGCGAGTAACGGTGTACATCATCGTTTTTCTCTCGTTTATAATATCTCGTCCACGGCATGAATATTCAAAAGACGAGTGGTCACGTACGTATGCATACGACGTATCTATATAATACAAATAACTAGAACTGAAATAGAATTGTCCCTGTTACACACCATATTACACACACCGTCTGCATATGCATAATAATATGTGCAGCCGTGAAACGGCGCCGCCATTGTTTCTGCCGGAATAATGGGGTGGCCATTGAGCGCAGGATAAATAAATAAATCCTTGGCAAACGCGCGAATTCATTAAATCGCCACGGCGATCGTGGTTCGACCGCGAGTCGAGAACAAAGCGTGAAAAGGCGCGCAAGCGCGATAAGTCGCGTGTCCTCGACGTTTACCATCGTGATCAATGGTTCCTCCCCCCATTGAATTGGCGAATGTCGAATTCGATTCTTCCACGAGAGTAAAATTTCAGAGATATTTCAGTTCATCGAACGCGTGCAAAGAAAGATTTGTCTTGGAAAATCTATCGATCGACATGTTATTTATTCGTTCTAAATTACGTCCTCGATTTTGGCAGAGTTCTTGATTATGTTAATCTCATATTTTTTTTCTCCGTTGTTCGATCTGATTCAAGAAAATTTCGAAATTTGAAATATCATACTCGTCATTTGACGCGAGAATTCGCGCGGTTTCTCGATTAGAGGAATATTGTATTCGCCTGGCACGCGAATCTTGTAGATCTTGTATTGTAGTCGAGAGTTTCTTGGAAATCATCCTGATTCCGTGGCGTCGTTAAAATTGCACGTGAAATTTACGCAAAACCACGCAGACCCTTCCCCATCAAGAGTTTCCAACGAAACTCTCAAAGAAAATTCAAGAAACGAAGATTAATTTGATCATTGCGCTTTTAAAATTTCAAGAAAAACGATATTTTCTCGATATGCTATTTAAATAAGCATCGATGATATTTTCAACATCACGGACGAAATTGCACGGATACAATAATTTTAATTTCGTTCCGTGTGATCAAATAAATGATACGCGTATTTCTACTGTTTCATCGCGTCCATGATGAATTATCGATATGGCCTCATGAAATTCGATCTTTGATCCACAATCCCGGATATTTATTTATCATTATTATCGTCGCGCATTTGTTATTATTTCGATACCATACCTATTGATGATTAATTTGTGTGTCGAGCATAAACGAAATGCAAGCAGAAGGGGTGACATTCTTTCTCTGGAATATCGTAATTCCTGTTTGGTCGAGTAACGGAGATATTATTACGATCGATTTCTAGGCGAGGATATAATACTCCCTGGGCGAAGTTCGAGAGAATATCAGCCCGAGATGAAGCTTGTTTAAGGAGATAATACTTTTATGGAGTGAATTCTTTTCCTATTCGCGGTATGGATGCACGAGGTGATTGTCGATATTGTAATGACTTTGTGTAACATCATTTTTGCAAAAGAGATTTCATTCATTGCTCGTTTCGAGGAATACGTTTCTTCTTTTGTTATTTGTTTTTTTTTTTTTTTTAGATGTTTTGATCACTTTTGTAACGTAATTTATTGTGTAATATATATAAATTTTCTATCTTTACGAACAATTTAATGGAAAATAATTAAGCAGAAGATTGGAAGATTGAGGATAGGATAATGGAAGGTATAAAATTAAAATTAATTATAGAATAAGATTGTAATTTTTTTAATAATCAGAATATTATCAGAATTCGATACAATTAAAACGATTCTATTCTTTTTTCTTGAAGTGTATTATCGATAATGGATAATTTTATCGATATGCAAAATGCAACGCAAGAACTTTCATTTTGAGGAATAATGATAATGGAGTGCTTATTCAATTTGACTGCATTATCTACTTCTACTATCTTTTAACAGTTTTCCATCAAGAATGTTCAATCTCCAAAGATTATTATATTTTCCATACTTTCAATTACCATTTCATCCCATATTTTAGCACAAAATTGTGCGAATCAAAAGATCATACGTATACATGTCGAAAATCGAACATTTTCGACAAAACTTTTTTTTCCACCCCTCGATATTCAAAATTTTCTTCTCTTATTTTTACAAAATTTTATTGTTCTTATTTCGAAAATCCACTCTAAAAAAATTGCCAAAATAAAATCCCTAGCCGTTCGAATACACCCATCCACGAGCGTTCTCATTCTCCCTACGAATTCATTTCGCAAATAACCGTGAATAACACGACCAAGTTCCATAACTCCATAAATCCTTGGTCGATCTTAATCAACGATCGCGAGAATCTTTCCATCGCTATTGATGCAAACGTTACACCTACCTGTGCATCGACGGTGTTCTCTTTAGCCTCGTTGCGTGGACACGTGCGCCGATCAGGATATCGATGTGACGATACTCGTACGCCGTGTTACGCACGTACCAACTGCACCGTTTCCGGGTCGAGGAACCCGATTTATCGAGGGCGCCGCTTCTTCTGCAACCATGCAAATCCTCCGGATTAGATGTGTTCTTCTTTAAATCTTTGAGCTCGTTCGTTTCCTGTTTCTATTTTTATTAACGAACGAAATATTTTAAAATGTACACCGAGTTTTACTGATCTCTCTTCTGAGATTTTTAATTATTTCGAATCTGCGTGAGTGAATTATCTGGATTTGAATTGTTGTATCTTTTTTCTTTCTTTCTTTTTTTTTTTTTTCAACGAATGATTCAGATTAGATTTTGAAATTTTGGAACGATTATTTGATGGTGAATATTGAAATTGGAGATTACTCTTGAGACTTTGCGTGAATTTATATGTTGGAATTGTTATGTTTTTATACAAATGATTCGATTGGATTTTGGCGAAATATTAAAATCGAGTCTCTGGGAATCGAACTCTCCTGAGATTTTACGCGAATTGTCTAGATTTGAATTATATATTTATTTTTGTAGGTTTCAATATTGATTTTCTATTGAATTTACTATTTTATTATTCTATCGATTACCTTGATTTGAAATTGACGATGCCTATTTCTTGTGATTAATCACCGCATACATTATTTAAATTGAAATTATCATTCCATTAGGCAGATTACTCGCTCCTCTCCGAATTATTTACGAATTATTTTTCCTTTTTTCATTTTATTTTATAATATATCGATTTCGAAATTTTCATAAAATTTAACTGCGTTATAATTATTCGATTATAATGCATAGAATTTATTCAAGATAATATTCAAGATAAGTGACATTTCCTTATGAAATATTTATATATTTATAAATTTTTGGAAAATTTCTTTTAAATGAAAAAAGAAGAAGACTAAAATAAAATTGTTTACAATCTATTTTTCTTCATTCACAAATTATCGTAATCAGAACGATTGCTTTATTGAAATTAAAAAAAATTCAAATATAATTCTATTCCAATTATGTTTAATTTGAATCATTCTTCCCGATCAATAAATAAAATTTATTAAAAACAAAAAAATAAGAGATAAAATATAAAATCTGTAATTAATCGAAAGAATTTCTCTTTCATTTTATTGGAAATCTCTTCCTTCATACAGATCGAATTAATTAAAATTGTACTGTATCATCCATCTTTAAGTATATATCCATTAAAAACAGGAAAGGGGAAGAAATCTCTTCCTCCTCGATCCAATCCAATCCACCCAGATACTCTTTAATCTCCCATCGATAATCGTGAATCGAAACGATTCTTTCCCCGTTCAAACCTCATCGATCACTCTCGAACAACAGATCCCAAATAAATAAATAATCTTTCAAATAAAATTGTCCTTGTTTAAAGCAAATCCTCGCCCTTACTATTCCCTCCTCCTCCTCCCCCCCCCGCTCTCAGCTTCCTCCCTCAAACTAGCTCGTTCCTACTAGGGGCGTACCTATATATCCTAAACTTCGTTCAACTTTCATCCCCCATGTCCAACAGGAAACAAAGAAAAAGCAAGGAACAAAAACTGCGCCAAACTCCTTCTCCCAAGACCCTTACCCCAAGAATCTCTCCTCTTATCCTCCTCCAGTCTTCAATGCTCCCCCTCCTCGACAATGGACACTGCAAAAGAGTGGTGCGCACAAAGGGAACAGCCAATGCACCAACTCTTTCCCACCATAGAGAAAAATATCAACCCTTAAACCCGTTCTCGTTCGTTCACCTTCCTCTACTCGAGGTGCAAGCACATCCGGAGAATCCTTTAAACGTCACCTTTAAAACCAGACAATCACTACTTCCTTCCATCCATCTAGGCAATCCCTCCTCTTCTTTGATTCCAATCCAAACCCCTTTTCGCGCAACAAACAAGTCCGAAAACCGGTTGTCGATTATGACCACCCCCAAAGAAACACTTCCTTCTCCTCGCCTTTCATATACGAGGTTCCAACACCACCGTGGCCCCCTCCCCCGTGTCCAAAGTGTCAATTCTTTGAATTATAGATAGAGGGGCCGCCCAACGAGAGGAGGAGCATAGGTAACCACCGGCCGGCCGGTGTTCTCCTCGTGGATTCTAACTTGTGGCTCGGCGGGCGAGACAGGGAGAGCGCGAGAGAGGGAGCGTGACAGAGGATGGACTCTCTCCCTCGCCGGGTGGCAGCCAGGTCACCGACCGTGATCGTCCTCGCTCCGACCGAACTGTATCTATCGGCGGCGCGCTCGCGACTGGGATCCAGGATCTCGGATGAGAGGCGAGCTCTCGAGAACAGGCGCGCATGCGCCGTTTCTCCGTCCTGCTCTACCGGCCCTCACCCCACCGCTCTCGCTCCTCCCCACTACCTTTCCCTCTCGCGCCCACGTTGCTGCTTGCTGTCTCGCGTCCTCGTCTGTTGCGTGGGTGACGGTGATAACCGCGTCTCTCCCTCTCGCAGCCGGTTTACGCAGCTCGCGCCTGCCCTGCCCTGGTCTCCTGCCACGCCAGCTTATTCTACCCCTGATACTCGCCCCTGCATGTGTAAGCAGCTGTTCCTCCAGCTCTTTCCCTCTCTGTTCTTGTTTTTTTTTTTTCCTTTTATTCTTGTGTGATTTGGGTTTTATTTTTGAGATTTCGATTTCGCTCCTGCAATTGTTCCTCGAGTGTGATTTTTTTTTTTTTTTTTTGGAGTTTGGAGATTGGAGATTGTTCGTAAGTGTTTGGACGTCGTGAAAGTGTTTTCCTTTTTTTTGTTTTTATTATTGTTATTATCGAGATGTTATTTAGAGATATAGATATGGATTTTGAAATAATAATTCGAGTGTCCCTTGTTTTTGGTTCGGATAGATAGGTGAAATTTGGTTTTTTGCGCTGTTAGGGATGAATAGGGGTGTGGAGACTTTAGAGGGATTGAATCGTGAGGTTTTTCGTGTGGGGAGAAGGAGTATATGTTGGAAATGTTGGGGGGAGGGAGACGTTTGAAGTCGTGAGATGATAATTAATGAGGAAGAGTCGAGGGTGAAAAGAGAATGTGTAATGGGAAAGGGTTTAATGGTTGGAATTGGTTTTGAAATGAGTGGTGTTGTTTGTTAAGTAATTGAAATACAGGCTTTCGTATTAGATATTTCTTTCTCTATATTTGTATTTTCTTATCTTATCGTTACTTGTTTATTTTTAATTGATTGTCTACAATTTTCATTCCATCCATTTATTGTTATTTATAAAACAAAAAGAAATATATTATTATTATTATATCTCGATCAATCGTTACGTACGGAATGAGATATGAAATTCATATTTTTCGAAACGATACATTTTTCAAACTTATTATCGTATTAATTACCTATTTTCTCTTATAATGTAAATATTCGTTTCGAAATTTCTGGTTTAAAATTTAATGCATTTACGATAAAGGAAGGAAACACGAGAACGTGCCTCTCTTGCACGATAATTTTCCAGTTATATCTCGTGAAAAAACTGTGCCTTTATTTCTCCATTCGTGCTTTCCTTTTCTTTCTATTGCGTACACTTTCGCGAGTCTGATCAGACATTGACTCGTTCTACTTGCGCACAGTATATACTTCCCTTCGCTTTTCCGCTTCCTTTCTTTCCACACTTTCTTTTCTTCTTAATGAAACAATATCGCTCTTTATACATCTCATTTCATCTGCATATTTTTTTTTTTTTAACAAAACCAAGAAGCATTCTTTTATCGAACAATGCAAAGAACAAAGTGTTCCGTTGAAAATAATTAAAAATAAGAATGTTTTTTCAATCCTACCAAGAATTTCATTTTTTTTTCTTTTATTGTTTGCGATCTCTTCCTTATTTTGCATATTATGTTTTATAAAAAAAAAAATTTTATCACTCGTATTCCCCTATTGCGAAATTTTTCCCCAACTGACTCCCTTTATCGCGTATTTCTTTATTACGAAATTCTTTTCTAGTTGAAAAATTTTCTGATAATAAAAAATTCTTTGCAATCTGAAAAATTTCTTAGGGATAAAATATTTTTTTCTCTCAAACGAGAGAAAATTTTCATCAATCTTGTATTTATATTACGTGTATATATATATACATCGCGTACAATCGTGAAAATGAATAATAATAAAACAATTCAACTTCGTTTCCATATTCAATGAACAATAAGAAAGCAATTGAAAGCTTTCGCGTCTCGATATTTTCCTTTTATCGATCACTTAAGATTTCAAAGCTCGATTTATTTCATCCTTTCCGCTGATAATAATCACTCCCGCTCCCGTTTGGTTCAATTAATTTACCTTTATAAAAAATTTTCTCTTTGTTACCCAACGATCGAAATAATTTATCCTTCGATTTGATTAACTCGCTCGATCAACCCCTCTGCCGCTAAAACGATTCTTTTGTTCCCCTCCCCTTTAATCGTTTCACATTTTTCAACAGATTTACATCTCTTTTCTATTTCCTCCTTAAGAATCCGTCTTGTTTAAAACAATTAAACAATAACAATAACATTCGTTATCCAATAATTAAAATTAATTAAATCTCGCCACGCTGTGCATTAATCGAAATGGCATCCACATCTAGGGAAGATAATATTAATCGCCACTTCATCGAATCAAGAATTTATTCTCGAGTCCTTAATAAAATACCTCAACTCGTTGGAGCAAAGAACTCTTCTCCCCCCCCCCAAAAAACTTCGAAACACTTGCCCCTTCAAACTTCAAACTTTCCAAACTCTCGAGGTTTCCGCACGATCCCATCCCAACAAATAATTTTTACACTGTCCCTCGCTATTTACACCCCGTATAATAGCTGCACCACCCCCCTTTTCCAACTTTTCCCCCCCACCATCCCAACAAAAGTTGCCGCCAATCCACTTGCCTGACCAGCTTTCCTCCAACACCTTTCCAATTTATGAACATTCGCCCCTCATTGGTCCCCTCTCGCTCGTTAAACCGCCACCTCACCATCTTTATCCGCATTTACGAAGTGCAAATACACGGTGATGGGATGACGACGACGTGTCCTCCCTGGATATGTCAACCACGTGGAAAATTCCCCACGTGGGGAAATTTGTGGGCGCGCCTTATATCGTCCCCGATATCCTCGATCGACCTGAAACAAAGCAATATGCGAGCGAGCGTCTCTCGGGTAAAAGTCAACGCGTATATATACCTTGTGGATATATTCACGGCTGATATTTCACGCGCTCTTTCCACTTGGAAATTTCACTCCATGCTTCACCGGATGGATTCGAAGATGAATTTTGAGAGGTGTGAACGAAGCTTTTTTATTTTCGAAGCTAAAGTTGATTTTTATTTTCTTTTTTTTTGGATATTTATTTTATACAATTGTTTAAACTGTGCATGGATGTGTGTGTGTGTGTGTTATTTTTAAGCAGGATGTATTATATTTGTTCGATTATATTCTTTATTGAAAAGGGCACTTTTGGCATTCTTCCTTCCGGTTGATTTGCTGGAATAGGTGGAGAAAATAAGGTGACAGAAGATCGAACTATTGGAATCCGGAACGCATGAATGACGTCAAATCGATTTTACCTCGTAGATATTTTTCGCGTTTCTATGTTTCTCTATGCAAAATACTATATACATATAATCCTTATAATATTTTCAAGGGATTCGAAATTGCAAACGTTTCGATTCGAAATTGTTATTTATAGAATCAGGAGGAGATATTTTTAAATCACTTTGGTAAAAAAGAATCTAAAAAAGTTGTAATTGTAATCTTACCATGGAAAGATATTCTATATTATAGATCTGACTTAAAAAAAAAAAAAAAGGAAAGGAAAAGAAAAGAATCGAAGATCGTTCAAATTTTCATTAAGATTGAAAGAAACGTGGAAAGAGGATTAAATCGGCATCCAATAAAAATTCGAAGAGCGGCAATTCGCCGAGAAGAAACTTTCTTTCGAGAAAAGAAATCTCTGGAAACACGTTCAAAGTGATTCGGAACGTGTCCAGATCGGCTGGGATGCGAACTTCACTCGAACTTGTTTATCGTACCAAACTCTTCGCTTTATCTGCATTTCAGTTATTCAGATAAAAACGATCACGCGTGTTTCATCGCTACGCGATTCGTCGAGCGGAAGAAAAGAAGAAGGAAGGAAGAAAAGGAAAAAAGGGGGATCCTAGGCGACGTTTGATCCTATTTTTAGAGGGGAAAAGAAAGATAGCGTGCGTCAAACATCCTTATTCCCATTTTGTATCGATCGTGTTTACGAGCCGTGGTGGATGGGATGGAAAAACCTAGCGGCGGGGTAAATTAACGATATCCAGGGAAAGAATATTGGATAAGTTTCGTGAAAAATTGGGATAAAAATTTTTGAATTTTTTCACTCAATTGGAAAATTGAAAGATTGTTTTTTTTTTATAAAAAAAAGAAAAATTACATTACTTGTTGTTTGTATCAATTGGATATTCCAATCAATCTTTACAAGCACGTATCAATGATTATTTCACTTGTCGGAGTATAACCAGTTTATACCACTTGCCTATGACTTTGTACGACTCGTCTCAAGCGACTTAATAATTCAATTATATGCTCTTAAATTTATCTTCAATTTACAAAATGTCATGAAAATACGTATTATAAATTTAATTGACAAAATATTTATTATATGTATTCGGTAGAAATTTCAAAGGGTAAAAGTTTTCGATAAAAAACTTCATTCGAAGGAAGAGAAGTATGAATTTTTAAAATATCTACATATTCTACGTTTGATATCATTAATCCTTTTTACATGGAAAGATATATATATATATATCTCGCAAAA